TGCTATTTATAAATGTATTTCAACCGCATAGCATTAAGTGCAAAAAATGTTGTGTGTTCAACGGTTTAGGGAATGTTTCCTTGTATTTTAAAGATCTTAATTCTTAGTTGCGTCAATTACAACCTAAAAAATGCATTATTTAAAGCATGATCATAAATTATCTACAACAAAAAATAGGCGACACTAAAATGTACTACTCCTAGAAGAGCCGAGTTTGACCTTTCAGACCCAAGAGCCTTTTATTAACACCTGCCTGTAAGGAGAACCGTGCCACACGCAGCTTTCGGATTCACAACCACAAAACTGATGAGGAAAGGCTTGAAGGGTTCAGTTTGTGTCACTTGCTGTTTGCCGTTTCCATTTCACAGATGATTAATCTTTCTGTGAAGAAAGGCCAGAGAAACAAAGCACATTGGGCTCTTCCTGCAGTTACTCCTTCTGAATGCACACTAGCTTGCTAACTAAAAGGCCTTTAGATTTCCTGCCGAGAGAGATGTTCTGAAAGTGAATGCAGCTGGTTGGAGGTCACCAGTGCAAGGCTCTTGCCATTGTGTAATGGAGGCTTTGGCAGGTTTCATTTTGGGGGGGAGGGAGAAGGTGTTGGCGAAAAATTAATGCGGAATAAAAAGGGCTTTGGCCATTTGAATTAATTTCTTGAAGGGTGGATCATCAATAATAGGCTCAATTTCTTTTGCTCACAATTTTAAAAAAAAAGATATTTGCTGTGTTTTTTCCCACCCATTCCCTTTCTTAATGGCATGTTTATATTGTACGTGGTCTCTCCCGCTGGATGCTGAAATGTCGCGTCTTACTGAGTTTGAAAAGCAATCGAAAATGTCCTGATTTTTACATATATTTTATGAGCCCTGCTAATTTTCGTGGTGGTGAGAGATGATACTTGAGTGTTGTGTATTTAATTTCCTAATTATGGGATTTGTATCGCTTTAATAATCGATACTGCTCTTTAGTGACTTTTAAAGCAGCAGTTTCTATTTTTGTGGGAGAGTAAAAATTTGTTTTTAAAAGGTATTATCTAATTTTTAATGTGTGTGTATGTTGAGTCTTAATATATACACGCCTTGTTTATGGAAGAGAATGGTCTGATATCCAGCTGAGTTTTTGACTTTGTTTTTTCTTGATCTTGCGTAGGACGTAATGTGCAAAATCAAGACATGGGTAATAGATGAAAAGAAAGCTGTCCGTTTCTATCATGATTGGAATGACAAAGAGGTATGCTATAAATATTATCCCATGAATTGACTTCTAATTTTGCTACCTGTTACTCTCTTTTTTTTTAAAGGTTTTTTTTAAGATTTCATATTCATAGTGTATTGAATGTTAAATTTATCAGCCAATTCTGTGTTTATCAGTGATCTATATATTACACTTTAAATCTGTTGCCTTCTCAGACGTGCCATGAGGAAAATGGTCACAAAATTAACTCAAGTTGGTATGACTTGTTTTTAAAATTCTCCTCCTGTATTTTCACTTCTAGATTGATGTTTTGAACAAACATTTGTTTTTTACTTCAAAACCGATGATCTACTTGGTTAACCTCTCTGAAAAAGACTACATTAGAAAGAAAAACAAGTGGTGAGTATGTTCGGGTTAAATATCTAAATTTATGTTTCTATTTCACATTTTTCAGTGGTGAATAATTCCTTGCGCATTAAGATCACCAAGGATGTTAATTAAAATAGGAATTAAAACTAATGTTGCACTTTTGTTACTTGTTATGCTCCCATTGACATGCTGCTTGAGTACAATGCATATGGTGAAACCCTGAATGAAAGTGCAGAATAGAAAAGAATATGCTTTCCTTCCTTATGTTTCTACATGAATCCATTAACTGTGAAGAAAATAGATTGGATTTAGAAGTCCCTGATTTAAATAAACATATGGTTTTATCATGTTATATAATGCTGATTGTCTGAACAACATCTTTTTCATTCCAAAGGAATGAATTGAATGCCAGAGGACTAAAGCTGAGTGAGTTGCACAGAAATCTTTCAAACTGTGGCAAAATTGCACACTTTAACAGTACTCTTCTGTTTGCAGTTGGGTGCCTGGCTTCCTTGCCACTGCTTGCACTTTGCTTATGGTTTACAGGCCTGTTTTGATGGGCTTTAATGCCATGAACAGTGCAGGTTTTAGTCAAGTATTCTTGACATCAATATTATGGCTTAAGTATGTGATGGTTACAAAATCAATCTATCAGACGTTCAATGAACTGGATGAAGATCCAGTCCTAACATGGTAGACATATGGTGGGAATCTGCTGTTGAGAAGTACAGCATTTAGCATGTCATTGGAAGCTCTAGGTGGGATAAATACTTGGTTTGTGGAGGAGGGAACAGATTAAGTAGTATATGATGAAGAAAAATCTATAGCACTATACTTATTTTAAAAAAGCCACCCAAACAACAAACCTTTTCTTGGTATTCAGATCTTTAAACACTGTACTTGTGAGATACTTTGACGATGTATAAATGTATGTTTGTGAACAGATATATGCATGTAACTCATCCAAACAAATCAAAAGTATCTAAAGCGGAATATCTGAATTCTCCTAAAGTACACCCTCTGTTTCTCCCTGTACTTCATTAAGTACTTAGATGCACATGGTTTCAATTTTCCATTAAAAATTCTCATTTCCATATGATATCAAAGAGTGAGAAGGCTTTAAACTGAAAAATAAACATTCATAGACTGGAAGCCAAAACAATAATTAATGTCAGATGGTTAACTCCAATAAATCATTAGAATAAATTCTGTGAAATTACTGCAACTAAAACTGTCCTTTTGATACTCCAAGACATTTTGTGTTAGTACTGAAGAACAAAATTTAACCTATTTAACAGCAAACTCTCTCAGCCCAAAACACAGACTTTGGAATAAACTTGATGACCGATGTAATAATGTAAGCTTTTCATATTTGGCCAAATTTTATAATTTTAAATTAATTTGTTTCTTCTTTGAATGTTTTTTGGGTATGACGATTTAAACATTAAAAGTGGTTCTACCCAAGGAAGTCTTTAAAATCAGGTATTTGCTCTGCTATTGCCAGGTGATATTTTTTCCAAAGTACAAGAAGTACAAGGAAACCTTGAGGTTTCCTAAGGTTCGCTATAACCGTACAGACATGGAAGTTTATGTGAAAATGGATGAGTCAGTTTCCCTGTCCAAAAAAGGATCCTCGCACCTGTATTTGGATGATTACAGGTAGAGCTCACTGGCTTTAATTGTACAGTAAATACCATTTCCCAGACCCTAATGGTAGACAGACTACTTAGGAGACGCCAGTCTGTGATTTAGCTGTCGCCAGTCACCCCATGTTTTTTGTGAGACTAGTTGTGATGATGACATAGTTAAACCCAATTGAAAGCAAATCTTTGTATAAATTGCAATTTTTAATTTGAAAAAAAAATCAGATATTTGGGTTGACGAGCTATATAATGAAATGGTTTAACTGTTTCTATTACAATTAATGATTTAGTTTTTAAAAAGTATACCCAGATCTCATGGATGTGAGCGTAATTGTAGCTGAAAGATCAAAGCCTGGGTAGCTGAGTGATGTTCCAGAAGAGAATTTACCACATAGCCATTTTCAGTACAGTTTCTGCCTCCTGCTGTTCCTATTTTCCCTCAAGCTAGCCATTGACTACCCCCTGTGCATCCCTGCTCGTAAAAAATGATTGAGGAAGTATTTGTCATGTATTTATGAGTGGGAAACATTGTGTGATAGGGAAAGGCATCTACTAGAACCAGAAAGATTGCCATTTTCTTTCATTCAGCCACTCTGCCACAGCTTTAAATCCTCTGTTTATGTAACATAGCTTTTATATTTAAGAGCAGAATAAACGTTTTCTATGAAGGATGCTAACGGTAGGCTTTTGTCATTTGTGTGGTGCAAGCAGATGTAAATGATTAGACTATATTTTATTGCTAGATGCCACTTAATTTGTGATTTTTGTTATTATTTTGAGGGGTAGAGGTTCATATTTGAAATGCAAGCCACATTTGGACTAGTCGTTCAACTTGAAAAAGTTTATTTCTGAGCTTAATTCGTAATATTACTATAACAAAAGTAAGGTTAATGCAGGAAACGCTCAGCAGTAAAACATTTTCATAAGACTTTTTTCAACTATAAAAGTATTCAAAACAGCAAAGGAGAGGAGAGGCTTTTTGATTGTGGGTAGAGAAGAAAACTAAAATTGCCTTTGTTTTACCAGGTCACTCTTTCAGAATTAACGAACATTTTAATTGTTAGTTAAAACACACTTACATTTAAGTGCTAACATGTTATTTTTCAATCCAAGAAAAGAAGAAAACACTGTGAAAGATAGGACTATTGTGTGTTTGAGTAGGTGTATTGACCTTTTGAAAGATGTAAAAACTGGAATGGCTCCAAGCAGTTACTTGCTGGTTTTAACAATGTTGAATTAGTCATTCAGTTGATTTATGATTAAGACCTAGCCCCTGAAGAGAAGCTGACATGGCAGCTGTGTTAGTCGCACTTGTGTTATGATCAGATGACAGTAATCATGATGTTGTATGGGGGAATCCACTGAAACCATTCTTACTACATATTATTGCTGTGCTCTAAATGAATACTTAAGCCCTTCTTTTAATAATTCCTAATGGTTTTTATATGGCTCTAATACCTTAACATGGTATACATGTATTTGAGTTTTACCATGAAAGTATTCTAAATAAGCCTGTTAATTTTCAGTTAAAACTGCTTTCTGAGTTACAGGATGTCACATAAATCCAGCACATGAGATTTATCAGCCCTTCACCTAATTAAAGGTTTACATTTTAGTCTTGCTAAAGAGGGTGCTTTTAGCGGGTCATAATATGGATTCCAATTATGAAATATATTGAGCTAATTAATGAGTGGATGTAGTGGACCATGCTTAGCGTACTGTTTGGTTCTGTATTTTGGACTTATTCTTTGCAGTGAACACCAGGAATACTGTATGTGTCAAAGCTGCATAGACTGATCTTTTGACTCAACTTCTCAGGTCTAAAAAAGTGAATCTTTTTATCCTATGCATAGACTGTAATTTAAAGAGCTGATCATGCTGCTGAAGATTTTCTAATATCTATAGTGTCGTAACTAAGTCGTCTGAGACTTGATACAGATTTTTGAACATTGTTTTCTCTAATATAATTCAGACTTGTTGAGTATCCAAATGTGTGAACATTATTTTCAAGGGGTTGTTTCTCAAAATGTTATGGGAGACATTCTGTTAACAAAAATAGGTTGGGTGTTGACGGGATAGAGTACGTCTCTTGAAGTATCTTACTGCTGTGTATTTAGAAAGGTGGCATATATGTCATAATAAATAAACTTTTCCCCATTAATTTTTATAGTATTTTTAATGTTCTTAAGCTACAAGAGGCATAATTAGGTCAGATTAAGGGTCTGTCTTTTCTGGTATCATGTTTCTGACAGGCCACTAACAGATGTCCAGGGAAGATTATAGGAACAGATTAAGCAAACAGAGTGTATGCGTCCAGCTTCTTGCAATCTGTTATTGTAGAACTGGCTAAGCCAGATATGATATACTTGTGGTTAATAATTTTTGACTGATTTTTATTCTATGAATTTAGCCATTGGCCTTTTGAACCCAAGTATACTTTTGGCATCCCAATATCCTGGAGCAGGGACTTCCACAGTTTAACTATGTGCTATATGGAGAAGTACTTCCTTATGCTTGTTTTGGATCTGCCACATCATAATTTCATTTGATGCTCCTTAGATCTTGTAGTATGAGAGTGAGTAATCCTTTTCTATTCATCTTTTCCACATTGCTTCAGATGTTCCAAATATTTCCCATTTTTTTAAAATTTTACAAAAAAAAAAAAAAAAAAAAGGGGGTGTGGGTGGGTGGGGAAATCTGACATGAAGAAAGAAATATCAAGGGTAAAGTACAAGGAAGACTCAACAGGCTTGAGTATGAATTAACCTGCTTCACTCAGTCTTTCACTTCTAAACTAGTTAGGAAAGAAAGTTGTTATCTGGTGGTAAATGGAGACCTGGTGTTCTTGGTTGTATTTCTGTGGCTACGTGCCCAGTAGTAGAATAGATCTAATAGTTGTGTGTTCACTGTCTTAGCAAAAGAGCAAGGCAATGTCACGTGCTGGTAGAGCAAGTGGATGGTGACAGAAGAGATGCTATCCAGAAGGTTTTCCTGGCTTCAGTACGCCTGTTAAAAACAAGGAAAGAAAACTTAAAAGAAACTTAAAAACAAAAAAACCCCTATGCTCCCAAACCTCCCCTTCCACCCTTAAATAATGTCTGATTTTAGAGAAGTCATGGAGATACTATTTTTGTACAGACTCTTCTTAAATTGGTTAGCAATAAATATTTGATCTCTATGTAAAAAAAATTTAGAGTGAAAGTTCTTCCTTAGCATTTAACCTGCATTTTGGTTTGGACCTTTCAAAAAGACATTTTAAAAACCAAAAGAAACAAAGATTAATGGAAATGGTAGTATTAACGTGACATACCTTGAAGCAAAACTTGATTTAGCAAGCAGTATAAGGGTATGTATATTTAAGAATCTTAGTAAATAAATTCACAGGAA